AAAAAAATTTGCTTGATTCGATATTGGAAATATTCGCAATCAAAAATCGATCTTTATAAACAAACAAAAAAATAAAATATTCAATTTATATAATTATCAGTTTGTATAGCGTTACGTAAGTATGATAATCATTAATCATTTACCAAACGAATAATATTATAAACGAGTGCCAGAATCGATAAATAAAGACCGCGTGTCTGTTATAGTAAATCTATTGTTTTTAAACTGCGTGCTGTTGTTGCGATCACAATAATAATAATATATGCGCATGTATTATACAGTGTGATTTATCACGAATAAAAGATTACACCTAGTCTGTATATTATAATAATATTGTCCAAACATACGCACATGGCYGTGCTACATACTCGTATACAACTGCCGTCGTTTATATTACTTTTACTTAAAAATTATATAAATATTGTATGTGACGTGAAGRGAGTATAATAAATCGATCATTGTCGGAATAATAATAATATTTGTGTYCGTCCGCAATGCACATTCATCCGACCTGTAACGGATATAATATTATCATTAATTAATAAAGTAAAAACAAATTCTTAAAAACGAGCTCATTTCTTTCCCGTGTTTGATKTAAAACCCATWTACCTAATTTTAAATCTTTAACTAAAATACGACTTGAGTATTACTGAAGACGATATTATTCTATATGCTTCAGGTTTACTTATCTAAATATAACCATTAGCATTTCCTTCTTTTTATTCGAAAAATTCTAAAACAATTAAAACGAAATTTCATACCATTAGCTATAGGTAYACAGTCCATTCTTKATCGCGCTTGACAAACTTTAAARTTTTTCCAATTATTAATATTGTTTACGATTTCTTTCTGTCTGTAATTCAAAAATTGTATTACCCAGTTAATTTATATTATCTCAACTTATTCCTATAAGCTTTTGATAAAAAATCAAACTTTGAGTTCAGCAACAGCTATTAAAAATGACAAAAGCAAAAATAAACGTTTTAGTACGTAGCTAAAGTATATTATCAAATTCACCTTTCCTCCATTTTAACTACTATAATAGTATAATTTGTGGCTTGGTGAGGCGCGGTCGTACGCTCAATCTGCGGAAACGCACTGAGCGTACGTACCGGCCACAGTTGCTAGCTCCCGGATGGGTGACCACCCGGGATTTTTAGCAACATATCCTTGCCACACATACACAAACAC